TTNTTTCTTTTTCTTTCTTTCTTTCTCTCTCTCTCTCTCTCTCTCTCCCTCTTCAATTTTTTTTTTGCAATGGCTAACTTATCTACCGTAGGAGTCAATTGGCATCTCGGGTGGAAACGCTCTTCTTGTCCGATTTCCTTGCTCTCGGTTCAACGTTTTGTTTGGTATCACAGAACGTATGACAATATGTATGAGCCGATTTCCTGAAGGTTGCGAGTCCCCCCTCCCCCTTTTCTTCAGAGCTTCTGCTTACATGTAAGTCAATTGGCACCCCGCAAGCTGCTGAGTCCGGGAACCCGCAGTATCTTTGATTCTTCGCAGCGAAACTTTCAGCACGGCCTCCGGGGACGCCATTGCGCAATCGGGCTCTGAAGAGAGAAAGGAACTCGAAGGGGGTTGGGGGGGGGGGGGGCGAGCGCCCTTTTGCAACTTTGGGAAATTTACAATACTCGAGTACCGGTAACGGTGCGAGTATGATACGATACAGGTACTCGTACTGTACGGGTCACGCGGCTTGGTGGGCCCCATTAAAGGAAGGTGGCTGTGCTTGCGCGTGTCTGTCGTGGTTCATCACGAAAATTTGAAAATTGGGGTCCGTTCTCGCTTTCTTTCCGTCGTGGTTCCGCAAGTGTGAACCACGGGCACCGGTATCGTACTGGTGGTGGAGTTGTGGGTTTGGCTTTATCGAAGGTTATCCATTCAATGATAGGAGGTGGGGGGGTGAGGGTGGTGAATACGAGTCACCACCTTGCAGTGCCGCGAGATAGGGTTCTGTTGTGCGATACTGGGGAACGAGAAGGAAGGCACGATATTCGTGCAGTGCAAGTGCTGTACTGTACGAGTACTCTTGCAGAGTTACCGTCACGTATTACAGAGTTATCCATTCGGGGACTCGAGGGATGGGGGTTGGACCGAGAAATCTCCCTTCCGGGAAATAGGCTGCACCTTCTCCCATCTGAGCTGCGAGCCTTTTTCCTCCCAAGCAATGGCGGGTGTCTCAGCCTGCCAAAATGGGAGCGATACACGGCTCAAAGGGGAGTGTCCCTGACAGTTATCCTGGCGGGTCAGGCGAGTCATGGAGAGGCCTCCGAACCATTACCGTATTAACTCGTTCCTTTTCGGGGATGGACTGGACTCGAGGCATGATTATCTCTCTTCATTCTCGTGACTGCTAGACCTATTCGGGTCAAGTAATGTTTTCCTCCCCTGCCCTCTCTTCTCCTCAGACCAGCCCCCGGTTCAGTCAACAGCGCTCGACCAGCTTCATTATCGGGCCTGAATCCGCTCATCCCTCCCTTTTCGTTCTATTCCCTTCCTCGCTGCTCTCATCCTGTCGTTCTGAGGGTTCTGATCCACTCTTTTTTCGCGTGTCTCTGAGTGGGTGCAAGTACCTGTTTTGTGTTTTTTTTTTGTGTGTGGGATGTTTTCTGCGTGCTTACTGCATTACACAGTAAACAGTACCTGCTCATCGCCAGTCTTGTGCATCCGAGGGAGGGCCTTTTCTTTTTTTTTTCCCCTTCTTCCCCTGCTGCCGACGTGGACAGACAACTCAACCGTTTTTTCACTTGCCTTTTTCACCGTCCAACTCATAACTCGGTCAATTAGGGAAAAACAACACTTCATCACGCGAAGAAAAAGAGGAGGATTTCGCACCAAGAAAATCGCCAAAGGGTTTCTTTCCTCTTCACCTTTTCACACCTCTCTGCATCCATCCGTCTGAGCGCGTTATTAATTCGCGTCGCTGCTGTCCCGCATTCCGCGCGAAAATCTACCGATTAACTGTGCCTTACCGCCAGCACACCGCTCTATCACTTTTCCGCCCCCAAAAACCCGGATCCCCCCAAAACCAAACCACATCACACCCATAACCACGAACGAACGAACGAACCAGCGGACCAAAACGTGTCAGCGAGGAAGGGCGAACTACCGGAGCGAAACGGAATAAGAGGCGATTGAGTACAAATAAACAAGTGGACGAATATGCTTCTACCAAGCGCATTACCGTGCGATGGCCGCGCGCCATCCAGTCCTCTGAGAAGATCCTCCCGTCAGTCACAGCAGATGTTCGCATCCTACCGGTCACCGCCACTCGAGGAGCCAAACCTGATGGCGAATGCGACGTCCGGGTTGATACAGACATGCAAGCGATTACACCAGATTCTCTCCGTAGACCGATCAAGCACCCCACCTCCATCCGCGTCGCCGATGAAGCTGCGGGAAGTGCCACAGCCGAGCACGCCCCTGCGGAGGACTGCTCGGGGAGGGGTGCGAACGCCCGTGAACAGGGGCAACAAGCGGTGCAGAGCTGTGGCCTTCCACGGGAAGGAGGACGACATTGAGAGTGAAAATTCAGACCAGGAATTACGGGACCCCTTCTCCACGCCCAAGAACAAACGTGCCAGACTAACGACCGCGCCCTCGCCGCCGAACCGGAACCTGCGATTCGTAGGCGCGGGTGTGGAGGCATCCGAGGGGGAGGACGGAGTGTGGACTTCGGAGGAAGATAGGCAATTGGTGGAATTGGTATTGCGGAAATTGAAACTGTCAAAGGACGATTGGGAGGAGTGCGCGCGAAGTCTCGGTCGACGGAACGGAAAGGCCCTGGGCAAGCGATGGGACTCGCTCATCTCGAATAGAGAGCTGGTGCTCCGGGATAAACGGAGGATAAAGCCTCGACCGTCGAGGAGGATCTGAGGTCACTCTACTCCCAGATCCACTCGATTATCTTTTTCATCTTTTATACCATATTCTTCTTCGGTATTGATATTTATCAGTAGATGTCCTTTTTATTACTCGCAAAAAATTCCCGGGAGTAACAGTCTCTTTTTTGGTTTTTATTATCTTTTTGCGTCGCGTGGGGCGTGCTTGCACGCTTCAGCTGTTTATATGGATACCCTTGTACGAATTTTTCCTACCTACCATACTTATGCCTAACGCGTCTCCTTTGTTTTATTATCCTTCCCATCTATTTCAATTGTACTATTAGTTGCGGAGAGAGAAGGGGGGGGAAGATTACGATATCTAGGGGGCTGGTTAGTTGGTTTGGCTGGTTGGGGGGGGTTGGGTATTGGCATTGGTTTATCGGTATTGGATAACTTTTTTTTATTTTTATTTTTACTGTAACGACCTGTATACTAGTATGTTATGATTGTGATGATTTATTGAAGCTACCGTATTTACAAATTAATTGTATTACCCCTTGCTTGCTGGCTCAATTGATCTGTGCTCGAGTGTCTCGTCTCTGATTTTCAGTAGGGGTTTTTTCTTTACCCGTTGGTTGCTTTGGACTTTACGAGTGAGACAAAAGGAAAATTTTTTTGACACTAAGCTTTGGGTTAGGTTTGATATTGTGTTATTACTAAGCCACTAGGCCACCGAGACTAGCAGTATGATAAATTTGCAATAACTCGGCGAGCCAACTACTCCAGCACCGAATTACATATTATATCATACCAAATCCATCAACCAAACCAAACCACCACAACAACCAAACCACAACACCCCACCGACTGGAGAGAAAGAAGAAAAGCAAAAGAAAAAAAAAAATGCCCACCCGCACCCGCACCCCCTCCTCCTCCACCACCCCTCTCACAACCTCCTTCGACTCTCTCCGCTCCCTCGATTCCCCCACCGCGTCGGAATACAGTACGAGCCTCCTCCACCGCCAAAAACTCCCCCTACCCCCCATACCGGACCTCCGCTTCGAGCAGAGCTACCTGGCCGGTATCGCCGCGGCCGACGGCGTGTGGTGGAAGGTACTGCTCATCACTGTGAGGGACCAAGTGTTCCTGCCGCTGCTGCAGGGTCTCGGGTACAATATGTTGCTCATTGGGTGGAGCGGGTGGAATTCCGGGGCTAGGTTTGGGGGGAGGGGTGTTGGTTGTGAGTGATTCTGTCCTGTTGTGTGTGTTCTTTGATGAGCTTTTTTTAGGAGTGGGCTGATGGTGGTGGGTAGCGAGGGTTAGGAGGTGGCTGTGGGGGGTTAATGATTGGGATGGTATGATATGATGTTACACTGGTGATGATACTTTAGCGGTGTTTTTAATATTATACAATTGTTTGCTTGTGTAGTGTGTTCACACCGTCGTATGATATCGATACTCTTACTACTACCGCTTGTCGATCTATCGATTGTGCTGCTAAAGTATGATGGATGAATACTTTTTTTATATCATAATATCATATCATGTCATACATCCCCCATATCAAGACCTCTCCCGATTCCATCTCACACAATCCTCAAACTTAACCCCCGAGCCGCCAAAGAGATCCAGAGCGCTGCCAAACGTCAGATCCACCTTCCCACCGGAAAGCCTCTCGACCCTCTCGAGGTCCGCAAACTCCTTCCCACCCCCAGCATAAGTGGTAGGGATAGTAACCCACTCTCCCAACCTCTCGACGAGCTCCTCATCGATACCAAGACACAACCCTTCCACATCCGCAGCATGAATCAAGAATTCGGAGCAATACCCGGACAACATATCCAATGTTTCTATAATATATAGAAAGAATCCATCAATCAATCAACCCACACAGAAGAGAAAAGAAAAGAAAAGAAAAAGGAGGAAAACAAACCTTTACAAACCTCAACCTCCGTAATTCTCCTCCACCTCTCCATAGCAACCATCCACTTCTCCCCAACCCTCCTACAACTGAGATCGATGACGACCCTGCCCTTCCCACCGACCTTGGCGACGAGCTCCTCCAGCCTCCCGACCTCCACGCGCCCGCGCGGGAACAGCCAACTGGTCACGATGACCTTCTCCGCGCCCCGCCCGTCCAGCCAGTCGAGGGCGTTGTCGGCCGTTATACCCCCGCCGATCTGTAGCCCCCCCGGCCAGGCGGAGAGCGCTTCCGTCGCCGCCGGTTGGCTGTCGGGGGATAGCAGGATGACGTGCGAGCCCGTCACGTTCGCCTCCCGGTACAGCGTGGAGAAGTGGGCTGGGGGGTGCGGTGATGTGTGGTTAGTCTTTAGCGCGCTGGTGAGGGTTCCGCCGACGATTTGCTTGACGAGGTTGTTGTGGATGTCAATGCAGGCGCGGAATTTCGTCATCTTGGTTGGTTGGGTGTATTGTTGGTGGAGTTGGAGGCGCAGCAGGCGGGTTGTGGTGTGGTGGGGTTTGATGGGCTCTGGCTACTATTTAGGGACGCGGTGCGTGGTTTCACGGCTTGGGGAAGAAGAAGAAAAAAAAAGTTGGGATGGTATCATAAGAGTACGAGTAGAGCACAGTAGAGGCGAGGTGAGTGCGGTGCAAGTACCGTATGATATTTAACTCTCATGGGTATATTATTACTCGTAAACCATAATACAAAGTACCAGTACCATACTCCAAAGACAAAAAAAGAAATGTACAAAAGTATGTGACGATCCGAATAGGAAAAAAAGGGTAAAAAAAGGGCAAAAAATAAAAAAGCCGCCATCTAACATGTTCCCCGCCAAACGCCTACTGTAAAAAGACAGAAAGAGGAAAAATGAAGCAAAAGGATGCACCCAAGGTTAGACTAGGCTGGACTAGACTATTCTACCTCGTCCTCGGGTCGATACTCCTCATTCCCTTCGTTCTCGTCATAGAGCTTCCACCTCCCACCGCCGCTAGGCCTCTTCTTCCTTCCACTGCTGCCCGCACTCGACGGCGACGGAGGGGTAGTCTTCGGGGTGGAAGAGTCCCTGCCTCGGGAAGACGGAGGGCGGCTCGGCGTCCGTGGCCCCGTCCTCCTACCCGGGGATGGAGTCTTTGCATTTCTCGAGGACGTAGTCTTGGCACTGATACTCGAGGAATCATCAGTCTTGGTATTGCCCGCGCTTCCACCAGCTTTCCTGGAAGGCGATGGGGACTTTTTGGCCGCCGCTTTGGCGCCGGTGCCAACCGGGGCGCCCTGCAGTGTTGGCCGCTTCGCAACCGGCCTGGCGGTGTCGTACTTCTTTGGAGGGCTGGCAGCCGTTTTGGCTGGAGTAGCCTTGGGGATGCGCGGTGCCTGCGCCGCCGGGTCTCTCCCGGTGACCATGGCACTCTTCTCCCCGTATTCGATCCACTTCTTGACCACTTCGTCTACGCCCTCCAGTCCTGCGCGGGTGGCCGGTACTGAGAACCATTCTTTGTGCGTCCTCTTGCAGACATCGCATTTGATCTCCGGACGATTTTCCGGGTTGTCACCGAGCTCCAGGTGGATTAGTTGTTCGATCCGGTGGGAATTCGGCACTTTCTTTCCAATTTCCTTGTTCAGGACCTTGGTTGTCGCTTTTTTCGGGGTGGTGGGTCCTGGAGAGGACGCTGAGATGTGGGGGTAGAAACGGATTAATGACAAGTTGTACCCGCATTGGGTTGACCATTCGTGAAGGCGTCGTTGAACATTGTTTGCTCGCCCGATTTTTAGCAATATGCGTTGCCCTTGTTGCGCGTTCTCGGCATCCTCAACCATCTTTTGCAATGCATCCGAAGCACTCCTTTGGTGGGAACGCCCGCCAGACTTTTTGGGTGTGCCATTGGGTGTAGTGGCTGGAGTTGGCTGCGGTGATATGGGAGAATCTGATAGCCAGAACACATAAATGTACCCTGGCTCATCTTTCTCAGAAAAGGGCTTTGCAAGCTCCTGTTCAATGCGTTGTGCCGTCTTTTCCGTTAAAGTTGGTGGTATCAGGGGGTTTCCTGGGCGGATGTCAGAATCACATCCAGCGGTTCTGTTCTGGGTGCCTACCTTTATTTCTTCGACCACCTGCCGTTGCCGGTCTGGGTGTTGCAGCTGCGCTAGTATTGCGCTTGTCCTGGCTAGCCAGAGCGCTGAGATCTGGGTACATCAATGGCAATGGTGGTGTTGGTGGAGTGGGTTCAAAGTCCACCACGCGTGTGTCACTTTTGCCCCTTCTATGCGTTTTCCCGCGCTTCTCGGAGGAATCATTTCCCACGATGCCGGCGGCAGCTTCGTGCAATCCCGCTTCCTCCTTCCTGGCCCCAGGGTAAGAATCTTCCCTCGGGTCCTCATGAACCCAACAGCACAGTTTGGACCAGAAGGATTGTTTCTTCTGCGTCCTTTCTTCCCGCCGGTGACTGGTAGGGGGTCTTGGCACCCCTGCAAACTTGGGAGGGTGGACGAATGGATCACCCCCCGGGCCAACTTTCTTGGTCCTGGAAGCCACAGTTGTAGTGGTTGTAGCCTCTCCAGGCTTCCCACTAGCGACCAGCAATTCAACTTGCTCAATAAGAGTGTCCATGCTTCCACGACCAAGCAATTCACGTCTCCTGGCGAAGGAGGCGGTATGCCTGAGGGCTATATTCTGGGACTGGTCCTTGTGCTGTTCACAAAAGAAGACTTTTTGACCGCTAAATACGGCAATTATACCAGAGGTTGGCTGGCCCGACTTTGAGGGAGTCAGCTTGCGGCGACACGACTTCCCAGTGTTTGATACACCACAACATGTGGTAGAAGGGTTCTCTGAATCGGCACGCGAGAGGAGGGCAGATAGCGACTCGGGGGTATTGGGCACGAAAGGCATGATGATGTAGGGAAAGAGATAGATGGTTCACGGGGGAAAGAAGGGTAGACGTTTAGGGGGTAGGAATGGGCGGGGTAATATAGTACCGGCAGAGCTACCCTATGGAATGGGATGGGAAAGCTTGAGTTTACCCACTGTTCTACACCGGGGGAAGCAGTGCTCGCACTGCCAGACACGGCGGCTGAGCATGATCATAGTATGGGAGAGGAGGGTGGTGGAGGACAAGGGGGCAGGAGGTACGAGTACAGCGCAGGCTAGATGCTCTCATGTGCCTTCCGATGTTCACATCTCTCTTTTTTCCCTTCATAGTGGTGGTATGTATCCCTCTTCCCCTGCAATGTGTCAGGCTGAGGGCGAAAGCAGATTTGCGTCAGTGAGGAGGAGGGGGGCTATCGATACGGGTAAGCTGTTGCCTACAGTACGGTAGGGTTGGGATTAGTCTCGCTCGCGGTTACGGTACTCGAGTACAGTGGCTGAATTCCCTGTCACTCGGTCATTCGGTCGTTCGATGGATGGTTGGCGCTTCCAGAGAGACAATGGGAAACACCGCCCAGTGGCTCTACGCCAAGGCAAGAAAGGGGGCATTGCGCAATGAAATGGGTTGGGCTGGACCCACTCCAAATCCGTTCCTGGATCTTTCCAAAGACAAAAGCGTGGCACTCCCGAGTCGCTTCTCTCGTTAGCGGATTGCGAACTTGAAACGTCTTCCACGTTCTATTCCCCCTTTTGAACACTTTGCTGGCGAGACAGATCACGAACTGATCTCACCTATCTCCCTCCCCCCCAACAGCATCATACAAGCACAAGTACCGTAGTCTACACACTCTCGCTAAAACACGAGAATAACGGCCCGTCCGATAAAAAGAAGCCCATGCATATGTAGCACGCATAGCAGTATATCCTTGTACTCGCAGCATGAGAATGGATGAGGGAATACCCGATGTTACAAAGGACCGGCCTGCTGCTAAAATTGAGGAGAAGGAGGGTGTAGATCGCTCACTCTTACCCGCCGGGAACTCATCGAGTGTTTGTTTGCCAATGCTCGGTTAGCCGACCCAAGAGATTGGTGGGCTGTGGATACGCAAATAGAAATCCGGTTCAGCGAATCGGCGATGTTCTCTGGGCACTAGAAGGATCCAACGCATCGGTGTGTTTGTGATGCGGTTCCCATGGGTGCGTTTCCCGGCAAGTGCCCCTCCACCAGTTGCTGTGAACTGGCTCTTGGGGGCAGTCATCGATCGAGAAGTGACCATGATCATTGATAAACCTGGGTTATTGTTGGCAGCTTGATTTGTTGGTGCTGGAAAAAGCCGGGGTAGAGGCCTGTTGCCTGGAGAAGGGGTACCGGTACGGCAGGAGAGCGCCGTGGGTGCAAATGTGATATTGCGCCCGTCGGAGTGGATACAAGTACCAATCTGGAGGCCGATTAGTTACATGTGCTTAAACAAGGGAGTGGAAAGAGAAGGATGACTTTTTGTTAGAAATGATATATATATTTATATATATATATACATAAGTGAAGAATACTGTGCAAAGGGAAGCATGATCGGTTTAGATTATGGCATATCAGCTCTTCATGCTGTTTGAGACCCCCTCGAGCATTGGGAACAAGGTGTTGTGCGGGGGGGGGCTTTCTTCGGGTAGGTGGGAGAATAGCGCCTGACACCAATACCAGGAGCAGAAGTAATCACTGCCTGTACTACTGCTGGTACTGGCACTGGTATGGTGAGAGTGTAGAAGCCTCTGGTCTTCTCAAATCTGTTCGATTTGTCCATCATATCATGCTCCGAATCTCCGACCTTTGTGTGACAGGGTCAAACCCCAATCAATCCGGAGAAATATAGATCCGAACTGCGGAACAATGTGATTATCAAGTTGTGGGCGTTACTCCGGGCCTTTTTTCACGTGTCTATCAGAACTTTCCTCCCCAACTCCCTTGTTCTCGTTTTCTGATACGGTAATCTTCACCCGCCATCATGGCTTCCCGACGCGTCTCCGACCTGATAGCGGTTCTCTCAGCCTCCTCGGCGGTGGCGAGAAAGCACTGCTTGATACGGACTCAGCAATTGGACCTCTACGCTTCTACATCTAGCATACTAAAATCCTGTTATGGATCCCGAGATATAGCCCCTGCTAAGCCCGGAAGCGCGAAGAAGGAGGGGATTGAACGAGACCGTTTCTACCACCCTGAAGTTTTGAATAGCCCAGATCCCGCGCCGGGAGGGGGTTTTCCTATAACGCAGGAACAGGCGGACGATAACCCTTTTCCTGACGGGGCAATTCCCACTTCCAGCACCTCTCCTCATTCCTCGGGCGGAGGAGGAAGGGGTGAAGGCCACAGCTCTGGCCGGGCAACAGAAGTCTCTAAGGAATCTCTTTCAAGGGCTGGACCGCAATTGAAGCCACAATCATCTAAACAATCAGCAACTCCGATGCGACGGACGTCCCTGTCACCAGAAGAAGAGAAGAGATTACAGCACGAATCAGAGACCTCAATTCCTTCTGCTGTGGCGGAACTCCCTGGTCGGATGGAGACCCAAGGAATCGACGATGACGTGCTCTATCTCAGGCAAGCAAGATCCTCGCCATTGCTGTCCAACTTGCCTCGTGTGAAGATACCGCCACGGACGGAGGGTGGACAAGGGCCTCCTGGGAAGACTAGTTCTGATGTTCTCTATACGGCACCAAAGAAAGGTGGGGAGATGACAGAGATACCTGAAGAGGTTGCTGTACCGGGACAAGAGAGCAGTGTGGAGGGGCTTAATGGAGATTTTTTCCACAGTCGACGGGCAAAGTCCCTGTTTACGCGGCTCCAAGGCACGGAACAGAAGACATTGGAGAAAGCTGCAGAGACCCCGAGGGACGAAACGAAATCGACTGAGGGGAGGGATCAGAATACTTTTTACAAACGAACTAGCGTAGACATATCACCTTCCACCGGTACTGCCTCGTCGACTATAAGTAGCGTATCGAAGAAAGAAAAGAAGGATATTGAAGACCTTGCATCCGAGTTATCAAAAGATGTAGGAAAAGCTTCTGCTGCTGTCACCGAGCAGGTATGAATTCCATCTTCAGCGATTTAACCAATCGTTGTTTCTATCTCTTAATTTCCGAAAATTGCCGGGAAAGACGCTGATCACTCGCTGATCAGTCATCGGCGAATACCAGGTTGAAAGACCGGCCTTCCAAATGAGCGCCTCCCGTGTCCCCTCTTCCCGTCTCGGAAGGCTCTTTCATTATGGTGGATTAGCAGCCGGTATGGCGTGGGGGGCGGCGGGCGAATCCCTTCGACGAGCCACTAGAGGGGGGGATAGTGCGTCCACCAGCGGCGTAGTTTTAAGTCCGGCAAACGTGGAGAGATTGGTTAAAAAATTGAGTATGATGCGAGGGGCGGCTTTGAAGCTTGGCCAAATGATGAGCATTCAAGGTATGCAAGCACAAATACACAAGTACACACGAGCTGACCGGGCTAGATTCGGAAATGCTTCCACAAGCGATACAGGAGGTTCTCACACGTGTCCAGGACAGCGCGGATTACATGCCACCCTTCCAACGCGATTCTGTCTTAGAAAGTGATTTGGGTCCTAAGTGGCGGGATTTATTCTCCGCGTTTGAAGAGATACCGATGGCTGCCGCCTCGATCGGTCAGGTACACGCAGCAACCCTCTCATCCAATGGTCTCCCTGTTGCTGTCAAAATCCAGTACCCCGGAGTCGCCGCGTCAATTTCTTCGGACCTAAGCAACCTGGCCATCCTCCTGACAGCGTCCCGCCTTCTTCCTAAAGGTCTTTACCTCGACAAAACTATTGCGAACGCAAGAGTAGAACTAGCCTGGGAATGCGACTACCTTCGTGAAGCGGAATGTGCAAAGCGCTTCGCGGCACTTCTCCAGAATGACACTTCTATATTCAAGGTCCCCGCTATTATCGACGAGGCGTGTGGCCCTCAGGTGCTAACGATGGAGAGAATGGGTGGTATTGGCGTAACGAAGATAATCAGCAAATTGACGCAACAGGAACGAGACTTCATTGGCACTCAGATCCTCAGACTGTGTTTTCGAGAAGTTCGAGAGTTTAGGTTTATGCAAACCGATCCAAACTGGACGAATTTCCTATGGAATACGGAGGAGCAAAAGGCATCCCCCTCTCCCCGCGCTCCTCTTGTTGAAAAAAAAAGCTAACGGGCCCAGATCGAACTTCTCGACTTTGGTGCCTCAAGGGCCTACCCGGAACCCTTCGTCCAAACCTACTGCGCCCTCCTAAGGGCCGGCGCTCGCAGCGAAGAATCTCAAGTCCGTGATCTCTCCCTAAAGCTCGGCTTCCTCACTGGCCTCGAATCCCAAGCGATGCTGCGTGCACACGTCGGATCTATTCTCGCCCTATCAGAGCCCTTCAGTACTAACGCGCCGGAGGTCTACGACTTTAGCGGCCAGACCGTGACCAATCGTGTCCGCGGGTTTATCCCATTGATGATGAGGGAGAGGCTTACCCCGCCCCCCGAGGAGACGTATAGTCTGCATCGGAAGCTCAGTGGAGCTTTTTTGCTGTGTGCTAGATTGGGGAGTAGGGTGCCTTGCAGGGAGATTTTCGAGGAAGTTTTGGTCGAGTAGAGGGAGGTGCGAGCAGTTTGTGGTGATACCTAGACTTTGGGGGAGCGGAGGTTTGTGAGTTTTTCCTTTTATTCCGATTTTTTTCTTTTGCATTATAGTAGAATATATAGCACATCTCCATGCACTGTCTCTCTGGTCACTTTTGGGCATCACTTGTACTGTGTGGAGTTGAGTTAGAGTGTGACTCCTCACGTGTGGATGCCCCTCGGGGGGCCGTTTTTCCCGTTATGAAATGATTTCCACGTACAGGAGCGGAATTTGCACACGCCCCGACACCGGCACCTTTACCAGTGATCGAAAGTTAGGGAGAGCTAATAGCCGGATCCCGGAGCACTAGCTCTTGACATCGCTATGGTAACGTGGCTTTATTCGCTAGCTAAAGGTAGTTTGGTGATTTGCACTCGTACGATCGTGCTGGTAGCCGGGCGCAACTAGATTATCACGGAAGGATATGCTAATAATAGGGCTGGTATCTCCTTTCCTCTATTTTCGTTTTATCCTCTCGAGAATTTATTTGTTTATCGATTTAAATTTTCGGTAGTAGGTTTAAGTCATACAAGGAAGGAAGGGGGGGGGGCATTTGTGTCTCGAGTGATATGTCATGATATGTGCTGTGCGGTGCGGCGCAGGTCTAATTCTGGGGTGAGCTATGTTATTAGCGCTCTCTTTATTCTTAGTCTGTTCCTCTTCCTCCTCCGCCGTGCGCACTACGATACGATATACCGGTTCTCGGGCTGGCCAAACGTGCCCTCCGAATCCGCCATTGAGGACGACCAGAGATGCAATCTCGCCGCGGGCGATCCTCAACCAGTGTTCCCAACGGGCTAGGCCACTGATCGGCCGGCCTATAGGCTGTAGACTAGGCCAAGGCAGGCCGCTCTGGCGGTGAGCCTAGGCGGATATAGGACCGAACTCAGCCGGCCTGCAGCTGGGATCTTTAGAGCCGATCGTTTTGGGAATGGCTCGATTCCTTAAAACTTTTATTGTGGTTTATTATTTTATCTATATCCCCGGCTATCAGTTGAAGTATGATAACTAGACTACGCGATTACCAGTACACAGCCATCTCAACAAAGTCCAGGGCAATCTACCTCCAGATTCCTCCAACGCGGTCCAATCTCACAACACCTTCCTTCTGATTCACTTTCTTCCGCAGTGATTCTATTAAATCCATCAGCGAATATGCCCGCTATGGTTGGTACCCAGTTCTATTAAACTAGACCTCGGCGATTTTTGTGAACCACGAGCGAATCCATAACTTATGACTGGCCACACATAGGATCAGTGCCTAATACTATTAGTAAATCTTACTGATACTCGTTCAATTATACTCGTACTCGAGTGTTAACACCAACGCGTGGAATTTGCGTAGGGACTATGTGACTTCCGGTTCACGCCGGAGTATCTCGGACTAGTTTTAGTAGGGTGAGAGATGAGCCGAAGGGAAACCAAAGATCTGAAGAGATTGCAGGCTTGGCAATATAGGCCGGGCCCGGCTTTGGTTCAGCCTGGCCTATGTACCTGGCCCGTTGGGAACACTGCCCTCGACAGACCGAGTACTGTTGGGGGCATCAGGAGCGGGGCCTTGTGAGGTTGGGGTGTAGAATATCCCGTGCCAGGCGGTGGATCGTGAGAACATCTGAACTATGGGGATCGTGAAGCCTATTCATACCCGTTGTAATTCTGTAGGTTAGTGTGGGTAGGGGTGAAGATACGAAAAGGAAAGGGGTTCAATATCCTCTCTGCAAGAGCCCGGTAGTACTTTTCGTAGAATTTGGCAGCGGTCTAACTTATTCACCACTGCGCTTCCCATCCCATCCCATCCCACCACGCCACTCACCACGCCGGCGAGAAGCGCTGCGAACAGCACGCCAGTGCCGACGTATGATAGCCCGCCACCGACTATTAACCGGATCAACAACTTGAGGCTGTAAGCGTCCGGAACGTAAACCCAACACCAGCGCACTTCCACGCCGCCAACAACCCGAATCATAACCAACCCAACTACCTGTACGCCATCCACCCCCGCCGCCAAACCTAGCACAATCCCAAACCTACAGTAGTCCCCACAAATCCGAAAGTGCTCAGGACCGCGCAGCACACGCTCCCACTACGAGCTCGGCCGATAGATATATTAGTCACGTGGGTCTGATAAGGGAAAAATTTGGTTAGTCTTCCGGTTGTGGTGTGCAGAGATATAATAATGCACGTGACTAATAAATATATCTATCGGCCGCACTCCTAGTACCGGTACTCGTAGAAACCCACAAATCAACCCGAGCAGGAAACTCAGAGCCGGTAGCGGGATTATCGCGTTCAGGTTCAGGAACCTGCATGAGGATTTAGGGGGGCGTCATTTTTAGTCAGAGGGGGATCGACTTGCCATGGTGGACGGTATTGTAGACTATTATATTATATGAATGGATGACGGTGCATGATGATGGTGGTGATGGAGATGGCGGTGGTGGCGGTGGGGCCCTACAAGTATGATATTAGTGAGATTTTTTTTATTTTATATGAAATTCGGCACTTTTTCGTACTGTATGATACATGGCTTGGTGATTTTCTTTTTTTTTTTTTTTTTCCCTGGTTCGTTCTGTTCGGATGTTTCCGAGAACCCTAGGATACCGGTAACGGTACTGGTAACGGTACCGTACCGTAACTGGACAAGACAAAAAGGTTCTTCAAGTGGGGAGGGGAGGGGGGGGGGGCACGAGCAAAAATGGATGGGTGGGGTGGGTGGGGTGGGTGAGCAACAGGGGTTTAACTGAAAAGATTTTTGCTTTTGCTTCCGTTACCCTGCTTGTCCGAGTATGATACTTTGATTAATTCACTTTTTTGCCTGTCAAATACATGTCATATATGTTTGTCACCCGCCCCTGTGCAAGGGTGGACGGTACGGTGCCGGTGCTCGAGTATCGGTATAGGTGTAAAAGTGCATGAATTAACATATCCAATTTCCGATCGTAGCGCTTACCCTCGTATCGGTACGGTACACTACAGTGCCGTGCTGCACGTCGCTCTCGCTCAGCTCTTCTTCCCCCACGCCATCCTTCTGATAAGTAACTAGATCCAGGTTTTCGGTACCTTTACTAGATTCAGCGCACTTGTAATCACGTTATAGTCTAACGTATTCATTAAAAGTACTCGTACAGCCCTCCACGTGGTCCAAGGTATAAAACAGCAAGACAAGAACTTCCAGATATAATTCACCCCCACCCATCACGACCCCACCATGACATATGATGCACAAACTTAAACGTCAGACACGCTCTCCCACTCATTCTCACCAGGAGTCAGTGCACCGGGCCCATTCTTAAACTGCATGGCTAGCAGCATTGGTGGAGCTCTTGCTACTTATTTCGGACCCCACGCTGTCTTCCCTGGTAGTCACTCCGCCTGTTCCACTGCTTTGGTAATCTCGGAACCGCCTAACTGCAATGTTCTTCTCAAACATTTCGTCAACCTCCTCCAAGCTTCTGCCCTTCATCTCAGGAATCAGGAGCCACGTGACCACCACGCTGATAGCGCTGATGCTTCCATAAATGAAGCCTACTCTAGCGCCAAGGGCAGCATAGGGCGGGTTAAGAAGATACGGAAGAGTGAATGAGACCACAAAAGTGGTTATGACGCTGATGGATGTGGCAAGATTGTTTGTTTTTTCCTTGAGGCGTGATGTGGCAGTCTCGCCCAGGATGGTGTAGGAAAGGGGTGCCCAGGAGAGCGCATAGGAAGCTCCAAAGAGAATGTTGGAGGCCACCATAGCGTTCTTCTGCGTGGTACTTGGGTTGTGACTCGTACCAACACCTCCGAGAATGAAGAGGAAAAGGGCCATGAAAGAAGCACCGGTAAGCAGAATAGGCCTAAATTGATCACCGTTAGCCTTAGGACCTCTGACGAATGTATCGAGGGAGTAATCCGATCACCTTCTCCCGAAGGAATCAACTACCAATGAAGTGAAGGTAACGGTTACAAGACCGACTACAGTTTGGATGACACTCATTCCGAAGGGGTTAGGGATCTTCTGGCGCTGATAGAAGATTACAGCATACTGATCGAAGATATTATTAGTTCATGGGCGTCACTCGTCGCAACCTAATAAAGGATGACTACCTGTGAAACAAATGCTTGACCAGTTATTTGTTGAAAAAACATCGCCGTAACAGCGATAGTTGTTCGTCTCTAAACGCGTTATCAGCTGAGACGCGGGAAAAATAAGTAGGTTGACAGGGACAGATAATTACCCTATTTACCCCCTGGAAAATTTCTTTCCATGTCCCTTTGCCCTGGTTTGTATCGGAGGAAGCAAGCAGCTCCATTTCCTCCTGCAGCAGCTCGATAGGGACACCCTTCTTCCTTAGCTTCACCATCGCCTTCAAGGCCTCGTCCTTCCTCCCCCTAGCCATGAGCCTGTTCTAGTCAGCGTCATCCTCACCCCATCCCGGTGGAAGTATTTACCATCTAGGTGACTCCGGGAGCATCGGGAGTAGTCCCAGGATGATGACAGGGACAACTAGCTGCAGCCCCGTTGGGATCAACCAACTGGCATCGCCGTCCATGCCTTTAGTCCCGTAATTCACCAAAGAGGCAACCAGCTGACCGAAGCCGATTTGTAATTGCAGGGTTGCAGATATCATCCCACGCAGTGCGGGTGGGGCACATTCTGACTGAAATATGGGGATAACAACTATGGTGAAACCGGTCATTGCAAAATTAATAACTCGGCCAACGGTAAACTGTGCTGCGGTCGTCGCGGCCACCTGGAGAGTGACCCCACTATCACAGGGTTAGAGCCGGTCTCCCGAGTAGAAGGGGGAGAAACTCTACACGAGCGAGATGCAGGCGAGCATCATGATAGCAATTTTCCTTCCGTAACGTTCAGCCGCCGGCCCGCAAGACAGGGTCCCCTATTTATTCATCTTCAGAACCGTCACCCATAGGGCCTCACAGGAGGGACACATGAGAAGGCGTACCATGAGCTTTCCCAGGAAAGGGGTAGAAGTCATGATGGACGACAGGTAGGCAGGAAGCGCCCATAATTTTGCATCCTCCTCGTATCGTCCAAACTTTTGAGCAAAGGCTATGCAGCTGTCAGGGTCAAGTCGAGATCAGAGAGGTGATTTTTTGGGTTTTGCGATACCTTTCATGCCCTGCACACCTCCAAATGTCCCCACATCATACCTGCCGGGAGGGCTAGTCAACCAATCAAGTTGCAGGCACAGAGATGGGGGGGGGACGTACCCAAAATTGAAGGCAGCCAAAGAGACGAAAACTGTTAAAAACGCCAACATTGGGTTGAACAGGCCAATCCGTTGGCGGAGCGTGAGCGGGTGGTGATCCTGGACATCCATGGCGGCAAAAAAAAATGCCAATGGACTGGCAAGTGTGAGAAGGTTGGCGGGATTCGGGGAGACTTTGCAAGTGGGGATTCGCACAGGCACCGTAATCGGCACCGACAAGCTCGGGAGAGGGGTTCGGGAAACAAGAATACTACCGGTAACTGGGAGCCCGGTTTTATATACCGGCGCATTGGCAGACTAGTTGTTGGAGAGTAGGGGCAAACATACAGAACCACGGGCAGGGAGGAAGGCACTGGCACTGTGAACACAATATTTCACCGGCAGAGCAGGAAAGAGGTCAATGGTAAAAAGAGCGTAGGCCAAGGGAGCGCCATTCGGATGCTAGCCGCTGAAACCAGCAACAAGCTTATATTCTCTGCACTTCCATGGCTCTTTGATCTCTATCCCCTTCTCGTCACAAGAAACATTTCTCGTGCAACTGTGATCATATAAATGTCTGACTGGCCACCACTACCGTAATCCGCGGGTGGCAAGACCGGCGGCCGCTAGCATTGGTACTACCATGAATCCCGACGAAGGAAGGGATGGAAGGAGCTTGAGTGGTGGAGCCTCAGGCTCGGCGGCCGGGCTGGGCTCGATGACCCGGGATCGTGCCAGCATGTCTCGATTTGCAGGGGAGGAGGGTAACGTTACTGTACGATACCGGTAAGGTAGTCATGCAGCGTACCGCTACAAGGACCGTACTTGTACTAGTACGGCTGTGGAGGCTCGCTCGGGTGCTGTGCAACTCGAAACCTCACTTGGTGGCCGTCATCCACCGTGATCCATGCTTGTCTTGGTGAGATAAAAAAGCACAAATTGGCTGGCTCTACGCGAGGAGCACGCACCCAAACCGTCACTCCTACAGCACCGTGCCTCTCTCCTCCTTCGCCCCCCCCAAAATTGCAATGCCCGGGAAGGTGTGCGGCCCCGGAACAGATTTCGCCTTCCTTCTTGACGGGGTTTTGCCGTATAAATCTAGAAACGAGTGATGGATAATGAACCTTGGCAACCCCCCCCCCTTCAAAGGCCGTTTTCTTACCCCTCGTTCCGAACCCCCCTTCATCGCGCGGGGGCCTTCTTCGTGACATTGGATGGCAATGGGGTCTGCCAAGTCTCACCCTCCTCTGCGTTGATGATCCGTCCGTCCTGAGCAATTGAACACAAACCCCATCAACCTGGACCGCTGTTGGTACGCTCGCGTGGCTTGCCGAAGTTGGACTCTTTGTATGATATGAGAAATCGAAATCCCATCTCACGCCAGGTGTCCCACCCCAAGTCTGGTCGGCAGCACGAGTGTGGTAACCCACAAGTACCGCGATCACTGATCAGCCTGGGCCCTGGCCCCCGCATGGAGAGAATCCGACGAACCCGGGCCCCCGAAGCTCCTTCTCGGTCGGTCTTGGCTGTTGACGAAGGCTTGTTCAACTCGTTACGAGCATTTCCTCACCTGGAAAGTGGTACGGTAGGCACCGGGTGCCGGCGCGATATCTGGGCCTCGACTGCACGGTATGGCACCTTGCACTGTTTCTTCCATGCTCGGGTTATAGAACATGTTCCAAACGTCCCGCCATGTCGTTGGCATACAGTGGAAACCCCACCCTCGAAATCCTACCACGCCCACGATGGCGAATTCGGCCTCCTTTCGATTTCCATATCTGACATCCATGGCCTCCGTGGTCTCCGTCCTGATATCTTTGCTCGAGCGACTCCGGGCCTTCCCTCGTCAGAATTGGCGGACAGAATCCGGTAGATGGTGAGCCCGGCGTTCCATTTCTTATCTCTCTTGGGTCTTGAGGCTTGAATTTTTCTTTCTTTTTTTCCCTTTCTTTTCTTTTTCCCCTTATTCGATTGCTTCTCTGCAGGTCTTTCCAGCCTAGGCCGGTTTGCCCCCTCAGTACCGGTATTCCTCCACTTCTCACCTCCTACGCCCTCCCGCCATTGATTTGTCGGTTTCTTCCGCTCGCTCCTTTTTCCTTCGCGGACCGGCTTGCTCTCCTCTTCTGTTCATTTTTTCCACAGCTCTTGCTGCCCTTTTTCCTTCTCAGTAGAAACCCGCTCACCCATCATCATTAAGGCAGGACCCGGTGCTTAGAGCTTTATTCCTCGTTTACGCATAGCGTGTTTGACCCCGCCACGTCTTTGAAACAATCGGATTCCTAAACCCAGATCTGTGATTCAACCTCTCCCGTAGGGCACACACCCGAATTCCGGGCAAACCCGCTGCTAGCTGAAAGGGAGTGCCGGTACCGGCAATATAACTGGGCGAGTGGGCTGAACTTCCCCGCCTGGAGTCCCGCGGAACTCGGGAACCCGGAAAAAAAAAATAGAGACTTTGGAAATGCGATATCCGATGTAATCATGTTCAACGTGCAGACATCTCAAGCTACCTCGCCTTCTACCACCGCGACTTCTGCTCCGGAGGGATCCAATGGTTCGAAAGAAAAGAAGCGCTCTCGGTCAGGTAAGTTTGGATCTACTCTGTCATATCGTCATTTGAACCGCCCCGCTTCCAACCTTGGCTCTATTGATGCGTCTTTTCGATGTAAGGCTTAACACTTGGTTTGCATTTGCTAACTGCCTGTCTTTGGGATATGCGATAGGCTGTATCGTGTGTAAAGTCCGTAAGGTACCGTATAGCTATTCGATTCTTTCTAATCGGGAATGGTCAGGGTTAACCACGATGTCTGGCTCTGCGGTTTATTAGGTCAAATGCGATGAGCGTCCCGGAGCTTGCAATAATTGCCAAAAGCTGGACATCGATTGCCCTGGCTATTCGCCCGTCGGTTCTTCAGAGGCTCCCGAGGAAACGGTGAGCGCTATATTCGCACGAGCAGGGCGGAAGCGGCGACGAATGGTTGGCTCGTGTGTTGATTGCAGAGCATCGAAGAGCAAATGTTCGAGTGATAGGCCAACATGTGAGCGCTGTGCCAAGAGGGGGATTACCTGCGAATACGATGAGACTTTGCGAGGTCTCACAAGAAGCCAGAGCCCTAAGAGTCGGCGGGGGAAGAAAAAAGCTCCTATGTCCGCTGGCGATTTAGGTGGTGGGGAACCGAAATATGAGAGTTGGGCAAGTACGGTTCTGGAGAGGAGGGCTTCGAGAGATGGGAGCGAAGAATGGAAGAGCGGGACTGAATTAAGTGGAACGGATTGGTGAGAATGCTGTTTGGTGGCTCGGTGGGGATTGGTTTTTTTTTTTTTTACTAAAGTCCGTATTTTTTCGCAGGTTATTTTCACCTAACTTGCCCAAGTCCTCTGCACAATTAAACCTGTTGATCGAAACTTACTTTAATGACGTTCATCCCTGCCGATCCCTGAGCTTTCTTCACAAGCCGACATTCATGCGCGCTCTCCAGGAGGGGACTGTTGAAAAAACATATGAAGCACCTTTAGTACTAGCGATGTGTGCGTTAGCGGCACAGTGGGTGGTTTCTTTTGCTCTCATCTCCCCCCAAACAAATTTTAATTAATTATTCCATAGCATAATTTATTGGGACGAAGTACTGGAAGGACGCTCGCTTGTTACCCCTGATGCCGGGAATTCGGGTGACCAGCAATCCCTGAGCTCAATGCCGGGCGATCAATGGGCCAAGAAAGCGCAACATATAATGGTCACAAATTTTGCGGAAATTAGCCCAGGGAGATTGATGGTATGTGGAAATTTTCGAGAATCACTCCCCACAGGAAATGAGGGCGTAGCGGAGGCTTAATAGCAAAGCAGGCCTTAGTACTCTTGTGCGAACATCATTCCCGAACTCAGCAATCCCGTGAATGTTTCATGCTCTCTGCATTTCTGATACGTGCAGCCCAGGCCCTGAATCTGGATACGGGCCAAGAAGATACTCCAAAGACACAGGATCCTGATGCAATCACGGAATGTGAGACAAGAAGGCGACTTATGTGGTCTTGCTATATAATAGATCTTCTCTTGTGCTCTGGAGTTAAGCGGTTAATGCTGTGGGACCCGGAGAACATCAAGGTGCAGTTGCCATGCCAGGAAAGAAACTATACTTTGCAGATACCCTGCGAGACCGAGCCCTTGTACCCTATACGCACGGGTTCACCGAGAGGTTCGGATAACCTGGGCATAGAAGCCTATTATATCAGGCTTTTCCACATTAGAGGAAAGGTTCTTGAGTGAGTATTCTTCCTCTGCTCGATCGAGGTTTGGCTAAGCATTGGGTAAAGGCAAATACGTAACCCAAACCCCTATGGGCCGCCTTGGTCTACCGGCTCGCCCTTCCAAAACCTGACCGATGAATTGGTTGACTGGGAGAATACGCTTCCTGATAGTCTGCTTTTCAATAACTCTAATGTATATGTCCGTCGTGAGTGTCGGCAGCTTGGCGCATTCTTTGGTCTCCATCTTGTATACCATCAAGTCTTCTGCGATCTCTATCGTATATCTCTTCCAGGCTATCCCTTCCCCGCCGCAACGACCTTTAGTGGCGCCCCAGACGGATTCGTGGCGCAGTGCCAGAGCGCATGCAATGTTCATGCGGCACGCATTTCAGAGATATTTGAAATGAGCTTCACGCATGGATGGAAGGCCTTGGTCGAACCGCTCTGTAATATAATTGCATTCGAGAGCTCAAAGCACCAAATTGTGTATTTCACAGCGTGCAGCTCACCTGGACCGGAAAGGCGAAAGCTATGGGATGCCCTGGCGTGTAATTTGGCGGTAAATATTAAAGCTTTGAACGACATAAAAGGTTATTCAAGGGCTGCGGAGGAATGCGTGGGTTTTATCCTGCTCTTTCTGGGAGAGTGATGCTGACCCAACGATATAGGTGTTGTCAATACAAGGGCTCCTGGAAAGATTAAATATGTCCAGCATTTTGGCCCCTTTGCCTGGGTATAGCGAGAAGTGCGGGTAGGTTTGCTTTATTCTCTAGCGAGAGCTGCTATTGCTGATAAGTAATGGCGAATACAGCGCACGGCCAAGTGAGATTGTGTATGGCGATATACATAACTTGCACCAGTTTGCCACTTTCCGTCTTGTTCGTGAGGGTCTCGCTAAACCTGGCTCTTCCTCCAATCGGGAACCCCCCACACCTCTGCGGCCTGGGGAACATACCCTGTCAAATGTCCGCGCAGTCGACACTCCACAAGTTGTCACCACACATTCTCCGGATTCGCATCAAATCCTCCCCCCTTCATTCCCCCCTCCTATGATTAATAATGAACAAATGGGGTTGGATTCGCTTGGCCAGCCGCCGGAACAGCAATATCAGGATATTCAGGCGGACTATGAGGCAATATGGGCGGAGATAGACTTTAGGGTTGCTAGTGACAGTGGCCAGATGTTTGCATGGGACCCGTATTTTATGAACGGCGGCGGCCTCGATGGCGCTAGTGGGTCTGTGGGTGGAGGCTGGACATGATTGTTGTTGCAAGACCGAATCACCTGAGCCGAAGATGTTTTTATTTCATTTACTTTTTGGTTCAGCTGCCTTACTAGGGATCGTCACATGTCTTGTAGTAGCAACGTCCATAGGCTCGATTGGCTCCACGTTCAATAAAGGAGCGGCACACATCCCTTTATATATATATATATTTTATTGTGGTTCGCCCCGGCGGCCGGCGGTAGGCCCTATATGCATGACAAGGTGCTGGCGCTATCCAACAGGGATAGTTTATGATGCTTTACAAAAAACCGCTGTTATCATCGCTGCTGCACTACCCTGCGGTTGCTATGCAGATAGATTTAACAAGCCAAATCTGCCAACCTTTTACTAACATATATATTAATAGACTGTCCGATTATCGATAGCGCGAGCTCCAATGACGCCTGCCCTCTGTATCACCTGGCTGGCTGCACGTCGATTTATTCGCTGAAGTCAAAGTGGGGTCGTTTCGTGCGAATAAGATCAATTATCGAAATGTAGCTTTGTTAGGAGCTCGGTAACAACGCTCGCGGAACTCGGGAAACCAGTAGATTAAATCCGGAAGTATCATATGCTACACCCCGACTACCCCGAAGAGTACGCTCAGGCATAGGGTGCCGATGTACTCTGTACGTGTGAAAAGAGGTATCTATAAAGCTAGAAAGTATTCCTCGTCGATTGCCTCCCTTGCCCACTCGCCCACTGTCCCGGACTTCATGCAAGCAGCGACAATATGACAGAATCAGGGAAAAGGCCAAACTTCCTTGTGATTGTCGCCGACGACCTTGGCTTCAGCGATTGCAGTTGTTTTGGGAGCGAGATACAAACTCCCAACATCGACCGTTTAGCTAGCAAGGGGTTGCGATTCACGAATTTTTACGTCGCCGGGGCGTGTTCACCCACTCGTTCTATGCTCATGACAGGTACCGACCATCACATAGCTGGGCTGGGTCAGCTCTCCGAGTATACTAGGAATTCCCCGGCGCACCAGGGGAAGCCTGGGCACGAGGGGTATCTAAATGATAGAGTTGTCACCCTGCCACAGCTTTTGAAGGATGCCGGGTATTTTACTGTTATGAGTGGGAAGTGGCATTTGGGACTGAAGCCGGAATATTCGCCACATGCCAGAGGCTTTGACAGAAGTTATGCTCTGTTACCCGGCTGTGCTAACCATTATGGTAAGTACATTGTATATGCTTGCTGAGTTGCCAATAGGGTCTACCAAGTCCCGCGCTTGGTCTCCCCATCTCTCCTACCCGCTAGACGGATCGCGCTCGTCAGGCACATACTGACTGTTTGCTACAGGATTTGAGCCCCAATACGATGACCATCTGCCGGGCTTCTTCGAGACGGCCGTGACGGCCCTACATATGGAGAACTCGACCTACGTCCCTCAGAACCCTCCAGAACCCAATTTCTATTCTTCAGACTTTTACGCATCAAAGCTAGTCAACTACCTAGAAGCACGGACGCCCGATGAGAAATCCAGACCATTCTTTGCGTACTTACCCTTCTCCGCCCCTCACTGGCCTTTACAAGCCCCAGAAGCTTCGGTCAGGATGTACGAGGGCCTCTACAAAGACGGACCCGATGCCCTTCGCCTCCGTCGCCTGGAAAGTCTCAAGGCCTTAGGTCTTGCACCTTCCAGAGTCCATCCACATCCAGTCGTAGCCCCGGAGTCCGCAGAGTGGAATTCCATGACTCCGGATGCCCGTGCTAAATCTGCCCGCAGCATGGAGGTCTATGCAGGCATGGTTGATCGCATGGACGAAAACATAGGACGGGTCCTCTCGTCCCTGGAAGCCTCGGGCGAAGCAGAGGACACCTATATCCTCTTCATGTCCGATAACGGTGCCGAAGGTGCAAGCCTCGAAGCGCATCCGATAATGGGGGACGAGGTCATATCTCATCTGGAGAAATACTATGATAACAGCCTCGATAATATTGGGCGGTATAACTCTTTCGTCTGGTACGGGACACGGTGGGCACAAGCTGCTACTGCCCCGTGCAGGCTTTACAAAATGTTTAGTACTGAGGGGGGTGTCAGGGTTCCACTTGTCCTGAAGACGCCGGGGGCGGGAAAGGAGGAGGCGGAGATAAGCCATGAGTTTTGTACGGTGATGGATCTGGTGCCTACGATCCTCGATCTGGCCGGTGTCGAACATCCTGGAACATCCTATAACGGCAAGCCAGTCGCCCCGCTTCGAGGGAAGAGCATGACAGCCTATCTCTCCTCCCGTGAACAGATACACTCTTACGACGAAGCGTCCGGGTGGGAAATTGCCGGTAGCGGTGCGATTAGGAAGGGAAAGTACAAGATCACCTATGTGCCCGCACCCAAGGGCCCCCAGCGCTGGGAGTTGTTTGACTTGCAGAGCGATCCCGGCGAGACGAAGGATCTTAGTCGAAGATTGCCGAAGGTGATGAAAGAGATGTTGGGGTGTTGGGAGAAGTACAAGCGGGAGGTTGGCGTTGTTGGGCTTGCCGGGGAGTTGGGTGATATCCCACTTACGATTGACGAGTTTGAGGATACGGGCAAGTGGACGAGGTTCTTGGCGAAGGGTGGTATTCCCATCGCCTCTTAGACCTGTATTGAGGATGGCCGCTCTTTGTTTTTTTTTTTCGCGCCCACTGCTTATGGGTTGGGGGAGAATTGTCTAGTCAAGATGAATGCAATATTACCATATTCATTGATAGCCCTGGTTAGCATGGTTGGAAGCGAACAATCATGCTGCTCCACAATGGCGCTGCCAGATCATTATATATCACTCGCTTGGCTTTTACTTGCTACTGATACACATGTATGTGGGTTGTGATACGAGCTCTAGTTGTGCCGGGCTGAAGTGGCCACTTATAGGTCGTAAGAGTGTGCCGAGTAGGTCCGTAGCTCCTCAAGTGAAACGAGCCCAAGAGGAGAATCCCAACAAAACCATACTAAAACTTGATTGTTACCCCATTCCCCCCATGATTTTCTCATTCAGGGTTCTCAAATCCCATTCCGGGTCCGAAGACCTCCTCCGCCGCTCCTTAGTACTGACCTCAATTGGGGAAAAGGTACAAGATTTCTCCTTGAGCCTGACGAAAGCAATTAGATGGAGGCATCGGAGGAGGGTAAGATGAGGAACGGGAGAGCGGAGGTTTTTTTTTTCTGGGGGGGGGGGGGGGTATATTTCTAGGTCCGAGGGTTGTGCGTATGTGTACAGGCTCAGCGGCATCCGTAAAGCTCTCATACCCTTCCTTCCAAGTGTCCATAGCTCGTTTGGGGGGGGGGGGGGAGGAGGCTTCCCTGTGCCTCTCTTTCCTATCATGATAGTATGATCGGGAAAATTAGAGTGTGGTAAAGTTTACAATATCCCTAGAGGCATTAAGCATAATGTCTTTATGATGGAAATAATTCTCTGAAAGGTTCCCGCTATTATCATGTTCTTGCTGGGCGTAGTGCCTGGGACACAAGGAAGGGGGGGTATGGGAACTTTACCGACGGACGGTGGTCGTTTCGGAGAGACGAGACTGCAGTCACTGAGTGTCACTGGGTTCACGTGATGCTAGTTGATGGGATGCGCGCGTATCCTAACAGCGCAGTGGGGATGACAGACTACCCGAGTCTTAAATTTACTTGTACAAGTACAATCCGGGGGGGGTCTACGCATTTATACCACTTCACTCACCGGTCCTTCCTTCCTTCCAAGTTCTCTCTCATATGATATAATACCTCCTCCTACACATATATACTCCATGGTATTCGTATATACCTACCCATTTTATAGCATCTCTGTTTGTAACCCCCGTACCGATCCATTCTCTCGCTGCGTTGGGGCCAGCACTCCCAGGTGTCTTTTCACCGCCGTAATAAATAAATAAATAAAGTTAATAGTACCCATGGACCGGAATTAAGTCATGGAGAGTGGGGAGGGGGAGAAAGTAATTGATGAGCTGGAATGGGCTAGCTAGCCTGGAGCTATCATATAAAATGGGTTCTTTCGGGGGTGCTATATAATAGTACGGACGGCCGGGATCCATATAAAGGTTGTAGATTGCTAAATTAATTTTTTTTTTACAAAAAAAAAAGGAATGGTTGCGGCTGGACAGTGGCCTGCTCTGCGGATGTTGACGGTCAGGGACATGTACAATAGTCTAAGTTACCTAAATTACCTATGGCATGTGAGTACTGTGATGGGTGTGCGGTGACCGATTTATTTAACCACAATTATCTTATGGAGAAAGTAGACCCACAAAAGTTAGGAAAGACGGTGAGTAACCTTAGTATAAAATTTCAAAGCGAAAACAAAAACAAAAACAAGAATGTACAGTAACTATTCCTCTACAGTACTGTAGATTTAATACCACGGCTACTTACCCCCTTAAAGAATAGTAAAACTCTAAAACTCTCTTAGCTCTATGGACAAGTTAGAGATCATGTTGGATAAACCCCATTCGTTGTGCAATCCAGGTACAAGTATCGTAGGGTCTGGTAGCATGCCTTTCTATTAGACTATACCTACGAATGGACTCTCCAGCCGCGTGGCAGCAAGACCTCTCTCCCATAGATAACTTTGTCTCTTCCAGATGTTGGGAGATTTTTATTTTATTTTTTACAATTGTGATAACCTCTTTTTGCACCATAGCGATTTGTAAGAAACTTAGAAGGGGTACTCTTAAACGTATAAGTTAAGAACTTCCAACGTTCTGAAAAAGAGGTTTTTTTTTCTTCTTTCTTTCTTTTTTCCTCTCCTCCTCCTCCTCCTCCTCCTTCAAAGTCCTCCCAGGTATCTATCCAGTCTTTCATGGACTCGGAAGCATTCGCTCGCGAAGGAGCGAATTATTTATCGCAAGACTGGAGAATTTTTTTTCTTTTTCTTCCGGAGGTATGGTAAATTTAATATCATTCTGTAAACTGTAAACCGGATGGAAAATATTTTGAGCTAAGTATCATACATTTCCATAACTCTTAACCCAGAGTGAAAAAAAAAAGAAGAAAAAAAACGGAAAAAAAACAACCCTCTCACGACTTCATCGAGTGCTGTCCATATCTTTTCTCCTAACTGCCATTACGATTCAGCGGGGCGATGCTACGTTCGCCAGCTAGGATGATAAACCAACCCCACCACCACCACCGGTTTTCCACAGATGCATATCGACAATGTTGTATCGTATTTATTTATTTATTTGTCAGTCCCCAGCATTTCCACGAGACCCCCTCCAGCGCACCCGCACGCCCAGTATCATATCATATCATATCATATCGTATCATATATACCGTAGATAATTCCGACCCCTTCACAGAATCTCCTCCGTCCGTGGACTACGACACCGGCGGAATGCTTCCCTGTATATGTGAGTATGATAGAGGCATACTACATATTCCCCTGAAAATAGTATCTCTTCACCGCTACAGTGCCACCTTCGAATCGGGCTCCTCGCCCTCCGCGTGATCGCGGGTGGAAGCCGATAGATACCCGAGAAACCCGCTCTCCGGACCGCACTGGCGCTATCGGGGGAGATTAGCGTCCTGTAATTTTGACTATGAGGCTTCGAGAAACTGCGAGATAAGATGGTATACATATATATATGAAAGGGTAGCTATTGTCAACCTTCTATTTAGTTGATCGCAGTGGCATTTGTTTCCAAGAGGACGCCGGGGGCGGGAATTGGTGAGGGTGGAGGGGGTGGAATAAATCAGAGTTAGGGCGATTGGAAATGTCGTGGTCTGTGAGTGTGATAATGCGGCTTGATAGAAAGCTGATTCCTTTTATTCCGCGAGCAGCATCAGATTTAATGCAGAGAATATCATACCGAACACCCCTCAAGAAAACTTGTTCGCTTCATGCAAGCACAGAGTCTATAATCGCGGCCCCCCTCTCCCACTATTCTCGGTTTCACCTCAATCCGCGCGCTCATTCACCCACTTCACCCAGCCAGCTTCATCACTGATGACTATTTGTTTGCTTTTTCCAAAATAGAGCTGAATAGCCCTTGGGCGGAAAAGAGAAGGGAAGAGAAAGGAGGAAAGGAAAATGAAAAGAGAAGGAGAGATAAATGAAAACGCAGCACCGGAGCAAGTTCACTAAATACACGCACGCATGCTTGAATCGAACCCCCCCCTTACTCCACCTCCTTCCACTCCTGCTCCAACAAGAACAACTTGTGCCAAAGCGCCGGATCCTCAATCCCGGTGGGGTTAGCCCCCGCCATAGTTGCAGCCTCCACGTCCTGTGGGCTCGCATACCCATACCCCACCACTAAATTCCCATAAGTGTATCCGTCAAACCCGATAGGGACGTGCTGGTACCCGGCACTGCTCCCAGCTGCGGCTGTGGCGGGCGGGTATCCCATTCTGTCGCGCTGCATCTGCAAGTGTGCGCGGACCTCTTCCATGGTGGGTTTGACACGGAGGTATACTTCGGTCCTGTGCCTGGCGGCGGCAGCGAAGTGGTCAACGTTGTTCATCTGGCACGCCTCGGCCCAGATGCGATTCATGCGCGGGGAGTAGATGTCGCAGCTAGCCGGATCCTCCAGGAGGTTGCCATGGACAGTGAGGTCGCTGGCGAGGCTCGAGGGCTCAACCACATCGGCATAGCACTCTTCGCACACGATGAAGGAGTCCGTACCGTACCATCTCCGCCCCTTCACGCCTGTGTCGCCGGGGCATGGGGGCAAGAGGGACCGCTTGTATGCGAATTCCTTGAATTTGGAAAAGTCTTTGAGGTCCAACGACTCTCTCAATTTCGCGAGGAGTCGTTTGTGCCTGGGCGAACCGGGCCCCATATCGCAGCAAGTGGGAGCGCCCGGGGGATACTGGTCAATGTAGAAATGGCGCCCAAAGCTGGCCGCGGCAATTATTGTGTAGAAGCATGTAGGACAGACGGTAAAGTTGTCAACGCCTGACATTTTATACCATTGAGCACCATCAAGAACCGCACCCTCGCACTGGGACAATCGGCTGGTGGCATCGGCGCAGTGCCAGAAGTGATCAAAATTCTTCACAGTGTTCGACAATGAAACCTCCCAAGCAAGCGCAACCCCAACCATAGTAAATTTGCAACTCCACTTCTCCGATCGCGGTTGTTTAGTTGGGGTTGGAATGAATTTTTTACGCCATGGAGAAAGCTCAATTTCGTCCAGATAGCACGCTTCACAGATCACAAACCCATTTATAGGTTTCTCGGTCGTCCACCAATTCCTAGGCCCACCAACAGATGAGGTTCCAACGCACTTTGGGACCTCAGTGATCCGATAAGTGGCACTTCTGAGAAAGTCATTCCATTGCGTTGGAGATTCTGGATCAATGAATTGGAGGAACCTCTTTTTAAGACCCGGCACAGCCAGATCGCACATGGTTTCGTTACCCTTTGGGCGATCAAGGCGAACGAACCAGCCTGCGAAAGGTGACGCGGAGACAATATCATTGTAACAGGCTTCGCAGATAGCAAAATTCGGTATCTCTGACGGTACTCCCCACCAATTCTCACAAACACCGGCCTCATCCCCTTTGCAATTCGGTATCCGAATCCTCCTTTCCATATAGTGCGCGACTTGCTCAAAGCTTTGCGTCCGTAGCGCTACGGCCCACAACTCCTGCATGCGTGGTGTATGGAAGTCACAGCTCTTCTCCACATTGTGCTCCTTCTCGGCTTGTGAAAAGTAGTGTCCAAACTGAGATTTGTGAATATGAGTATAGTAGCAATGAGCGCAAATATCGAAACCCGGGACAAACGGTAGCTGAAACCACGTCCCCCATTGAATGAAATTGTGTTTAGGGCATGGGGGAAGGCGGGCAAGCTCCTGAGGACTCAGATCCCGATTGGTGCTCAGAGGTGTTTTCGGTGGCACTGTGCTCGAACGCTGGGTGCCAGAGAGATGAGTCCCCCCGGAGGTCCTGGATCCCTGAGAAGAATAGGGTCGGGGTTCGCGTGTAGGAATTGCCAATGGAGAGCCCGGGCGATCCGAGGTGGATGGCTCTTCACCTTCATAAGCAGATCCAGGCCCTTGGGTGGAGTACGGCCGGGGTTGACGGGAAGGAATCTCAGCCGGGAGCGAAGTATCAGTATTGGACCTTTCAATCCCGGAATACGGTCGAGGTTCGCGTCCAGGAAGCTCTGGGGGAAGTGATGTACCCGTATCCGTTCGCCTTAGGGAAGCGTATGGCTGGGGCTCACGGCCAGGAAGCTCTGGGGGAAGTGAAATGCCTGTATCAGTTCGCTCAAGGTGAGGGACATTTCCCGTCGCAGCGGGATGCAGTTGGGATCCATAGGGGCGGGGCTGGCGGCGGGGGATCTCTGGTGGGAGGGAGGTACCCGTATCCGATCGCTCGACAGGATTGGGAACAAAACCCCATTCATCGTCCCGGTCAGTGGGTTGTTCTGGGCCCTGCGACCCGTACGGGCGGGGCTCACGGGCAGGGATCTCTGGCGGGAGTGAGATATCCGTACCTGTCCGCTTAAGTTTTGGGAAGAAGTTCGGGGGTTGCCCACTAGGGGCAGACTGTGGCGCTGGCTGAGATCCATAAGGTCGAGGTTCACGGGCAGGAATCTGCGGCGGAAGTGATACTTCTGTATCAGATCGTACGAGCGGAGGCGGACCAGAAGGCGCCCATTGGTTCGTGGCATTGGGTTGTGGTTCTCCTTGAGACCCATATGGCCGTGGCTCACGAACGTGAATTTCCGGAGGCGGTGTTTCGTTTTTCTCATGGGTTTCAACACTAGGACCATATTTTTTCCCAGCACCGACAGGCTTATCAGCGCCAGGGGATTTCTCCTGTCTCGGAGGTTTGGGGGGCACCTGGCGACCGGATGCCCGCGACTCAAGGTCCGATTCTCCACTTTCAGCCGCGTCCTCTACAGAGGGGGGTGGAGGGTATGAGTTTTTCCGACGGGCAGGACGAGGCCCCCTCTCACTCGCCCCAGAAGTGGAATTTGCCCTTCTCCTCGAAGCGTCCAACCGAGGGTCATCAAGAGGATGCAGCGAGTTCGGTGCAGGAGCCATGCTCGCGGGCTGAGAGTTATGCCGAGAGGCTGGCTGAAAAGACGGTGCGTGCTCGTGACCTTGGCAGGTGCCAGCACGCGGTCTGGACATGCGAACGGGGAGGACTCTTTCCACATTCGCCGAACCGTGTGCGCCGTGGGACGAACGCCGAGGGTACGCGTGAGCAACTGGCTGGTCGTGTGTTGGTGCCGTATGGCCATCGGGACGGGACCCGGGCGCAGAGTTCTGCCCGACCCCGGGTACTTGGGTAAGAGGGGAAATTGGGGAATCAGGTTGAGAAGCGCGCCCCCGTTGGAGTCTGTCGAAAACGCTGGGTCCACGTCTGGGAGAGGAGATGGTTGGGGATTGTTCGGGTCCGGCGTTGTTGTTTCTCCTGTTACCCGGCGGAGGGCGATGATGCGGGGGGGCCGGGGGCGGTGGAGGAGGTGGGGGTTCATACTGATATGAACCGCCGGCGGAGCTATCCGAGTTTCCACTCGACATCGTAGGGATCCGCCGCAGATCGTATTGATAATAAAGTGCGGGATACAGTCGTCGGTCTTGATTACGGTAGGTTAATGGGGATGGGGAGGAGAAGTTAGGATGAACGACAGATAGAGGAGGCAGAGAAAGAAAACAGGTTCGGAAAAATACACGCGCAGTAAATTTACTTCAGTGAATAACATGTTATGATGCGCATGCAATGCACTCGCGCCTACATATGAACATGGGTCATGGTCAACCCCTGCGCTAATAGAGACCGTACCATGCCTGCCATACTGGTGCGTCGGTGTAGTTAGTATAAAACATGGTGGATTGAACATTATAGCCCATGACTTTTTCTCGGGATTGGGGGTGCCTGCCTAAGCGAGCACCGTACTAACAGATGCCATTACTGGATGCCATTACTGGTATGTCTTGACACTGGATCGGTGTAATCAGGTTTCGTGGTGTAGTTGGTTGTACATGTACATGTGCTCGAGTACACAAGGTGAGAGGTGGAAAATTGTCGACTTCTCCCCCCCCCACTAACCCTAACAGCGAATCTTGGCCGGGGGCTAGACTACTAAGCTGCATGAGAACCCAACTCGGCTTAGGCTACCGGTAGCTAGGCCAAGGTCCATTATCTCCCACCATTGCAACATCGCATACTCTACCATTTGTGTGGCCTACCGCACCTTATCCCTTCCTTCGTTTTCTCACCTCCTCCCACTAATTCCCCTCGGCGCTGTCGAGCCACCACCGTTGATTCCCTGGGCGGGCAGTCGGGTACACAATACTCCAACACCGTCCCGAGGTCCCGGCTGCATGTCAAGATGAGCCCGTATCTGTGAATAAAACCGTCCCCCTAGAATCCTCAATATGTTTGCTTGTCCCAATGGATAGGCGAATGGTCAAATGGTATCAGCATGAGAGGGAGGGGGAGTGATAGTGCGGCGTGATATATGGTATATATAAATATCGAGTTGGCCGGGAGGGACATCCGACATGTCAAGACGTTGAAAATTGCCCCGATACCCACGAGGGTAGGGTACTTCTGTTACCTTTACACTGGTTAGCATGCTCACGATGCGGGGAGCGGTGGGTTTTGGGAATTGCTTTCGGGAGAGTATCGGGGTACACGACAGATCAGGGTAAAGGTGTATCGAGTCTGCTCAAGCAGATCATCCCCCCTTGTAAGAACCGCTAAAGGGGTATCAAAATAACTAGCAGCCAATGAAATAAAGCAGAATAAATGAAAATGTCCACCGGGTTGGCATCCCCCCCGGTTCCTCCCTCATCACAACGCTACCTCACTCATCCAATCCTACCCCCTCCCAACCCTCTTTCTGAGCCACCACCACCTCTGAAACTACTTTTCTACACCGCCCCCTCTCTTCCTCCAACAGCCACCCTGTACCCTCCTCCCCCACCCACTCCTCGATCCTCCCAGCCACATCTCCAACTAACCTCTCATACACGTCCCCTAAAAAGAACAGTCCACAATGGGTGACCGTTTTCTTTGCGGATTTTCGAGCGCCGGGGTTGAGCTGTGTTGGCGGAGGGGTTGATGATGGAGAGGGGGAGCCAGAGGGTAGGGAACTCTGTCCGCTGTAAGCTGGTGGTTCCAGAGCACTCACTAACCGTCGCTCTTCCCTTTCCCTGTTTTTCTTTAGCTGTAGTCCCTCCACCTCACCGTCGTGCTGAGTGGCAGGTTTCCATTTTTCCTCCTTTTCCTTCTCACGTTTCTTCCACTCTGTCTCTTCATATTCTTTTTCCCAGTCTTTCACTACCCTTTTTTCGTAATTTTTCACGCTCTTCTCCCACAGTTTCACTGCTTTTATAGCCGCCCTCCCTCCATATTTGCCCGCCGTTGCATGTGGAATTTCCGAGTATTCAAATTTTGTGGGCTTCGGGAACGTCAGGGGGATTCCAGAGGTATTGATGGGGAAGAAGTGGAATAAGTGGAGGTAGAAGAGGTATGGTGGAGAATCCCCGTCCTAGGCACTGTTGCTGTGGTTTCTGGGATAAGAACAGGGGTATATCCAGTTGGGTTATCCTTGCAGAACCCTTGTCGTCGGACGTAGGGTCGGGTTCCAGCAGCACCAGCAGCATTTCACCACCTGAAGAGATAGGGCTTGTGCTTGGGTTCCTGGAGTACGGTCTGGGGGGAGACACGCTGACCCAAGGCGCATCCCTCCCGCCATTTCTCGCAGTTCTCTGGCACATGACCGGTCCACTTCTGCCTCAGCGAAGACAAACGAGTGCTCTGAGTACGCGGCCGCGGGTGGATATTCCGGCAGATAGTTGGAGTGTCCGGTAGAGGATGTGTGGTAGTTTACAAAACGTATGATACTTCGAATGTTTTACGGTCCGGGGCTTGCTCGCTAGTTTCGACTTTTCGGATGGTACTATAGCGGTTTTTCAGGCCTTATGGATCGGCGAGGCAGCTACTATTGAAATTAGTTTAACAATTCTGGTGCAGAGGGGGACTAGAGCAGAAAACAAGCCCATACTCAAGTGCTACATCAAGTACTGCCCTGTTGCAGAGGCAAGATGAGAATGGTGTTTATTGGTAAATTTGAGCGCCAAATCCCAAGTTCCCTCTCGACCCCCATTAGCATTCACACCCCCAATAAGCATATTGCAATTAACACACACCCTGCTTACTTTGCGGAGTGGTGAAACTTTATAGCGGTCTCTTATCAAAAAACTCATCCACACTGTTACCAGAATGTACCGTTGAGGACAAAGCCACGCTCGAGTTTTCTCCTAAGCAGACCCCCCCTACCGTCACTGGACCCATCCTCCTGAGAAGGACCCTTCCCCTCCGACCGAAACAGAGTCCTAAACCGAGCGGATATAACCCCCAAATCGATCCCTAGAATGGGTGAATCGATGGTGACAACCCCGAACATCCCATGACTCCATCCCCCCGCTCATCTCACCAACACCACCTCCACCACCGGAATCTCCCCCATGGAGCGTCCAAGCAACATCACATCCATGCCGAGATTCTTAGATTGTACGAACCATTTGGGGAGTGCCTCCTTCTCGATGGAAGTGTTGTACTGTACCTCGTCTTGAATTTCGCATGCACCTCTGTGTGGACGCCCGAGCCCAATTCTTTCAAGGTGACAGACAACTAGTTGGGAAGGTGGGCAGGGAAGTTCTGGAAGCTGGTTTCTTTGCCCACGAAGCCGTGAATGTAGATCGGGAGGTGCTTCCACTTTCCCTAGGGAGGGGGTCTGGAGCGTATTTGAGGTGGCGGAGGCCTACATTACCGGTACCGGGTTTCAATCCTT